GAGAAAAAATTATTATTTTCCAGTTACACTCGGCTTGGTCTCCATGGTGGCCCTGGGTGGCACATCCTTTACATTATTTTCCTGCTGCTGCTGCTGCTCAAAGTTTTTGCCATGTGGCCCGCCCCCCAACTAGCTTTTCTTCCTACGCCCCCCTTGCCGCCCCCCTTAACCCAAAATGCCTGCGGGTTACATTTTGCCAAGTCCTGTAAGTTTTCCTCTGTGTGCCTGTGTGTTTGTGTGCAGCTACTTCGTCTTATTCGAGTATACACACAAAGAAAAATTTGTCTTTTTCTCAGAAGGAAATTATATTTTAACAATAATGTAACCCTTAATAGGCCATTATTGGAAGGGGTTAATCATTTTGTTTTGTATTCGTTTTTAAGACCTTTTATTCAAGTAATATGTTTCTTAGAATTTTATTTACACATTTTAAATAGTTCACAATTCATTACAAAATTTCAAGTGTATTTAAAATGTTAAGTAATTAATTGAAAACTTAAAATATAAAGAGGTTATTTTCTTGATGACTCGTATAATCCTTTAGTTAAAATCTCTCAAAGTCCTTAAAACTTCTAAATAAGCAGGTTGCTTTTACCAACTTCTACAAATGGAAATTCAATATTAAAATAAAGCCAAAAAATGAGTATAATTTGAATAATAAAAAATTAATTAAATATTTAATTGATTAAACCTTCTATAAAAAGAAGAAAATTATCTAGAAGTATGAATATAAGACACAGCTTTCAAAATGTAAGTCCAAAGTTCATACATTTAATTCATCTACTCATTTTTGTCCTTCTTTAATATAAGCTGCTTTAATTTATATATTTTGATGTACCAAATGTTTATTATTCTAGGATCATGTAGTTCTCAAGGTAAGAAATGCAAACTTTCTTCTCTAAAGATCATTGAGTTTTTTTCAGTGTACAAACATTTTTATGAGAAAATGCCTGCCAACTCAGCCCTTGTATGTGTGTGTGCAGTATGAGCTTCAACGGCAGGGTGTATGTATTTGTGTGTGTGGGCTGTATATCAAAATATTTAAAAGCAAATATAATATTAGGGGGAGTTTGGGGGGCCGATGGCACTCGGGGTGTTCGTGTGTGTTGGTGTGTGTATTTGGCTGGAATTCGGGCAAAAGGCGTAATAGAAAAACACTTAAGCCGACCAATACCCCCGCTTTTTCGCCCCTCACACACAGAGGCCCTCTGCGAAATATCAAAATGTAAAAAAATTATATATACACAGATGTATACAATGTATATATACTTATATTAATAATGAGCCGCAGCGCCAGCGCAAAGAGAAAATGAGAAAAAAATGTGCTCGGTGTGTGTGTCTGTGTAGAATTTATTGATTTTCAGCGAATAAATATTGCCGGAGGAGCACATGGCAAGTGACTTAATATCAGTCGGCTGGATATTTACAATACATGTACATATGTACACATGCAAAACGCATATCATATATACATACATGTATATATCTTCTTCATATATTGAAATTGATTTGGCCTGCTGACGTTGCTTTCACGTTATCGTTCAAATTTTTATATTTTATTGTCAGTCGCAGTCGCATTAAAAATACTTAATCTCCGACGGCCCAGTTATTGCCGCCGCCCCGTCATAAAAAGTGGGTGGTGGTGCTCAGTCAGTCAGTCAGTTGATGGGGCAGTCCGTTGCTTTAATCATGTCCATATCGAAAAATTTTACTTTATCACAATCCCGGGCATACGTATTATTATTATTATTATTTTTGTTGTTCTTGCTTTTACGTTATTAGCACCCGTAAGGGGACCTCATGGCGTATGCTCGATGTGCGATAAAACCCGCGACTTTTTGTGCGACTGTGTGTGTGTGTGTGGGAGAGCTAATGAGACTTTTTAATAAATTGCCCCATTCCGGCTGGCCTCGTTTTTAGTACAATTTTCATTATTAATAAAACTTTATGACATCTCTATATCAGTGGAGGCATTGTGCATTTTTGTTTCATAAAAAAAAGGAGAGTGTGAGGAGAACACACCATTTATTAATCCAATTAAATTTACCAACTTCGTTTGTCACTGTCTTTGGTAATGCGTCATGGCATTTGATAGGACTTTGGGTCCTCCAAATCTAAGAATCTAAGAATATATCTGCGTTTTTCTGTAAACTTCGATTTGTTCGGAAAATATAGCATACTTTTCTGCGCTAGCTTTCACTTTAATTTAACTTTAAAGGTATTCTAATTTAAATTATAATGACTATTTACATAAAAATACAAACATATCTCATTACTTTTTATACTTGTCAATATACTAATTATTTAATAAATAATTAAATGTCAAGGAAAATAGTTTACAGTTCTATATTTTCTCTCCTATTCTCTGTAAATGTTTATTTAAGGCTTAGTAATTTAGTACTACCTTAAACTTTAAACTTGAAAAATGTTAAGTGTAACGCAGCTTGTGTAAAATATTATTCCAAGTATAATATAAAAATATTTTAATACATACATGCATACGAAGGGTTATGTTTAAGGGGAAGGCGACTCAATGGATAGGTTTATGGATTTAAAATGCAATCAATTGAATTTCAAAGCTCTTTATTATAAAAATCCTTTTTTATATATTAAAATATATCTTTGAGAGCTGGAAAATGACATTGATTGCATGGAGTCTAAGGAGGAGTTTTGAAGCATTCGAAAGCATTAAGCAACACACTTTAATGAATTTGCCAATTTTGAATTAATTTTAACATTTTCTTTTATTCCAGCCAATTAGAATTTCGTTAATTTTGTTGGTAGGTGGCCAATGCAAGCGGTATTAGTTCAATATTCCAGTTATATATTTGCATTAACTTGGGTTGCAGTTTTTTTGGTAGCTGGGACTCACAATGTCTCTGGCCAGAGAGAGCATCTTTAATCCTAAGTGTAAACCTTTGCGAAAATAAACGCGATTCGAACGGAAAATCCTTGGATAAGGCATGTCTTGGGCTAGTATCAAAATGTTGCAATTATTTATTACTTAATTAGTTTGGTTAACGATTAAAGCACTTTATTGGGTTTCTTTTAGCACAGCGTTTCTGCTTAGAAAAATACAAAATAAGCTTGGTTATCCGAGTTTCAATTTTGATTGTGTGTTTTCCACCACTTTTTGATTGTTATTGGCTTACAAATCCATTGGTTTTGTCACTCATTTCGAACACTTTGGACACTTTGAAATCGGCAGATTCTTATTTGGTATTTGTTTTGGCTTTCATTTGCTTCTTCTCATTTGGATTTCTTTTGAATTTCTCTTATTATTTCTTTTTTTTTAGTTGCTGAAAACTTACAGAACTTGTACAGGGCGTTACACTTATTTGATCATGCCGACAAGTCCAAAACGACGCTGTGGTAGCCACCCGCGGCTACTTCTGCACCACGTACGCGTTTTCTGTAGACTGACTCGGCTTTTCCGTTTTCCCAATTGCCAGCCTGCCGCCAAAGGATGCAGACGACACCCACACACAGACACAGGCACAGGCGATTGAGAGAGAAAGAGCGAGCCGGAGAGCCCGCGAAGCCGAGAGAAACCACCCCCAGAGCCACCCCCAACCTTTGGCGGGCAACGCTCTGTTGCTATTTTGTTTACTTCTCGCCGCGGGGGCGTTCGGCGGAGCAACAAAAAAAAGAAAGTAAAGAGAAAATAGCAAAGAGAGGGGATGGTGGTGCAAGCAGAAACATGTGCTAGCCTCTGCAACTAACTTAGTTTGATCCCCAAAGGAAGGACGCCCACTTAAGTGTTGCCTACTTTTTAGAGACTTTAAATTTCTTTAAACTTTCCAAATAAATGTTTATAAATACTCAAGTAAATTACTTGATACTCATGCCACATATTAATATGTATGCAGTGCGCCCACTTGATGGATTCGCAGTAAACACACACACAGACACATGGACACTAATTCTACCCTCAGCTCACAGGACATGCGTATTGGATAAGACTAAAAAATAGTTGAGACGCTGCTCAGAGAGCATTTGTTGTTGTTGCTGCTGTTAAAACAGTTTATCAACACAAAAGCGAGAGTCTCTGATAAAACAATCATCGTTTATGGTGCAACACGCTTCAGCCGATGCCTCCGCCCCTCCTGCAGCATAATTGAGATATAGTCCAGTGACCAGACCGAAGCTCGGGGTGGCTAAACGAACTGAAGTGGTTGAGTGGAGTGGACAGGAGGAGGAAGCCAAGTGGTTGGAGTGGAGTCGAGTCGAGTGTGGACATGTTCTGTAACCGCATGATTAGGAATCGAGTAAAGTTGTTGACAAAATGGGCAGGAGGGGCCGGCATCAATCCCGTGTTCTGGTCGCTGAATGGGAAAGGGATGCCAAAACTAGGTTAAACTCAAACCCATTCATTCAAATTTTTCGGTTAATAATTTTTGAGCTAGAGTTTATGACAAACAATATCAATGCAAAGGCGTAAGTTGCGTGCGACTCGTTTAACTGCCAACCCTCCTTCGTAAACGGTGGCTCCCCACCGAAAATGGGGCACACACCGGAAATGAGAGGGCATAGTTTTCGCATTTTCTTTTAAATTACAAAACAACAAAACTAAAAACGAACAGGAAATATTTCAAGTCGAAGCTAAAAATACCCTTGAAACGTATTTGAGAGCTATCAGAAATAAAATAAATATCTAGAAAAGATGTCTGCAATAAAATATATTGGATTTGTACATTCAGGGAAAAGTGTATTTGTTTTTATGATATACAATTTTGTTGGGTGCTTTTCACTTGATTACTTTAAATTATTTAAACTATTTTAATCAAGTATATTTTAGAAAACAATATTACTTTCAGCTTTGTATAAAGACTTTATGTTATATGATTGCATTTATCTTAACTCGACTCTTTCGTCTTTAAATATACAAGCAACTTAAAATATTAACCAAGAATAGCGAGACGACTCTATTTCGAAGAGTATATCATTATAAGACGAATGAGAAATCAAATATGCGCTTAGCACGATATATTCAAATTTTGTACGTTTTCTAAGCCACCCACCGAGGACAGCGGACTTTTATTTTTGTTTTTATATACCATATAAACCAAAAGTCTGCGTCAGAGTACGCGACTTTTCAATAAAATAAAATACAAATCGTCCTCGGCGTGTGGATTTACTTATCGCCTCCCTTGCTGCTGTTTGAAGTCTTGCGCTGACGGTGCTGCAGCAGCTCTTTGTATTGCTCCATAGATCCATCCTCATGCTTGGAGGTGAATGGTGCGGGCTGCTTTTCACCCTGGGACTGCTCGTCGCCCGTGGCATTTTTGCTGCGCTTTGATTTCTTGATTTTGTCGCGCACGCGCTTTCCCAACCGTGAGGCAGCCAAAACCTGGCTAACCTTGGAGCTCTTTAGGTATCGCGTGCGCCAGGACTGAAATGATAATAGAGGATATTAAGCTATCTATTCAAATGATATGATTATCCTCGGATTACCTCAGAGTCGGTCTGCTGCAGTTTATCAGGCTCGTCCTCGCTGGTGTCCAAAGAGATTACATCGTTGTCCAATTCCTCGTGGTCCTCGGAGGCCTTCTCTTTTTTCTCGCTTTTGACGCTTGCTTTTGGCTCGTCTTCCTTAGTCATTTCTTCCATCATTTCCAGGTCGCCGCCAATGGAAATGACATCGTCATTTTGATCTTCATCATCTAAGTGAGCTAGCTCAGGAACAGGGATAGATTCCTTCACTTCTTCTGGTGGATTTGGTTCTTTAGAGGAAACACGCTCCTCGACCGGTTCCTTCTCTGCAGGCTTGTTTTGATTTTCAGATTTCTGTGGCTCTTCTGATTCTTTCAACTCTTCAATCTTTTGTGGTTCTTCTGTCTTGGATGGGTCTTCTCCCTTTGTGGTCTCTTCCGTCCTAGCTGGGTCTTCTGCCTTTGCTGGCTCTTCTATTTTGGCTGGTTCCACAGTCTTGACTGGTTCCTCGGGCTCATCTCGTACTTCGCCCTCCTCTGGCTCACTCTCTACAAGTGGAGCTGGGGGCTCCAAAACGGGCTTGGGATCGGGTTCAGGTGCTGCCTTGGACTTATAGTTTGTGGCTTCATCGTCGGTGCTGTCGCTAATTAGCAGCGTTTCCGGCTCTGTTTGTATGGTTATCACATCAGGTGAGGCAGAACGAGACTTGGAGCGTGGCCTATTTGCAATTGGAGCAACCGAAGGAGCCGGAGCTGGAGCAGAAACTTTCACAGTATTCTCCTTCTCTGGCGACTTGCTGGTTTGCCGATAGTTTCGCTTGAGTTTGATTTTCTTTCGCGGAGTTGGCTGCTCCTTGCTACTGCTTTCCGCATCTTGAGTTTGATCCTTTTCAGCTGTTTTGCTTTTATTCAGGGAGCTGCCCTTTCCCGCATCTATTGTCTTGGCGCTGCGCTTCTCTTTCGTCCTTCGTTGAACCGGCTTTGCTGGCCTTTCATCTTCGTCGTTGTCATCGTCATCCGACTTGACCTCGATCTTGGTAATGGGCTCCATGGCTAGCTGGGAGCGAATGGCCCGGGCACGTGCCTGCAGCTCCAGCAATTCCAGCACACTCATCTGGCCCGCTGTAGAAAAATTAATGAAACGATCCTTAGTAAGCCATGATTCAAATAGGTAAGGACCTTTCGTAACGAAAGGTGTCAGTCATACGGGTTTTATCTAGTCAGTCATATGGTTCGTTCGGTGTAGATACATTTTTTTGTATTTTTTTTTTTTTTTTTTTTGTTAAGTACACTACTTACACTCTTTGTTTTCATTCCCGTTGTTCGTCTTTTTGGCTTTTGACTTCTTCTTGGCTGGAATTCAGACAAGATAAATACAGATCACAAATTGTAGGTAAAGTGTAATTCAAATTAACTGCACGTCAGAATGGTGCTGGAACAGCAATCTGCCCCCTCGCTGCATCTGGACAGCCAGAGCCAGGAAGGGGAGGAGGAACAGACGGAGGACGAGAATCGCCTGGACAAGTTCAAGGTGAGGCTCAATGGGCAGCATGACCTGGAGCAGCGGTTGCGCGACTTTAAGGCTGCCTGTGAGGCCCACGAGAAGCATGCGAGACGCCGCCGCCGAAGGCGTTACTACAATTTGGGCCTGGTGGCCAAGCTGGTGACGGAGACCACGCACGACGAGCTGCGTCGCATGCTGGAGAATGGCACCTACACCTTTCACATCGACACGGTGGCCAACAAGCCGGATGAGCTGCAGGCCATTCTAGACACAATGAACATCGCCATTGCTGCTCATGCAGCGGAGAGGGAGCTCCGCCTGATCACCGGCCTGGCGTTGGAGATTAACGGCGAGTGCTGTCGAGTCGGGAGGCTGAGAAACAATTGCACTGTGATGCTGGCCCGCGGGTCGGTGGTCACTCTCACCACCGACGAGTCCTACCGCTACAAGGGCTTCAAGGAAATCGTGTTCGTTATCAATCTGAAGGCCTATCTTTCCTCGGTTCGCCTGGGCGACATCCTGATGATCGGGCGCGAGGTGAGGGGCCGAGTGGTGAAGACGCTGCGCGAGGCCCTGGCCGTGATGATCATCGATGCCGGACTGCTGGCCTCCTACGACTTCATAGAGCTGCCCCGCCAATGCCACGCCCTGGATCCGGCAGTCTATTCTGATCTCTTTGAGAAGGACCTCGAAATGGCCGTGGCAATGAAGGCGAACTACGTGGTGCTTCCCAAGATCCGCTGCAAGAACTTCTTGCGCGCCGTGCGACAGAGCATAAATGATGGCTTGAATCTAAAGCTGATCGGAATGATCGACTTCGAGTACGTGCGAAGCAATATGCTGGATCTGCTGGGCATCATCAAACTGGTGGACTACATTTGGATACCGGACATGTTCTGCGTCAGCTGTTGCGTCTACAACTACATCATGGAGGACGTACTGCCCATTTCGCAGTGCCAAAAGAAGCCAGTGATCGGTACGGTGCCGCTGGAGCGCTGCAGTGACTTTAAGCGTTTCGAGCTGCACGAGTTCCTCTGGAAGATCGACGCCATTCACATCCAGAAGAGTCCGTGGTGTAACAAGTACCCGCTGATTGTCAAGAAGTTGATGCCCATCAAGGATTATCGGATCGGCGTAGTCCAGAACCAGATGGTTCTGAAGAACATCCTCACCTCGTACCACGCAATAGTCAACTTCATCATTCGCACCATAAGCTCGATCGAATGCCAGGCCATCTTTATATTCACGAAGTGCGAGACCGCCAGTGTGGCCCTGTCTCGCTCTGAGATCTACTGTCCCGTGTACGTGATGCTGCCGGTGGAGGATACCGATGATGAGGACATTATTGCCTGCAAGGTGAAACTGTCCCGCGCCCTCCACCTGCGCCGAAATATGCACCCTGTTCTCTACACCAAGGACCTTAACGAGTGCAACTATAGCCCGATTGAGTTTGGTGTGGATTACATGAGGAAGAAGGGCTGCCTGGAGGTTGGGGACTTTGTGGTTACACTGGAGGTGGGCAAAGAGGACGACGAGAACGTGTCCGTCGGCATTGGCGATGACGTGTGCATCCTGCGAGCCTTCTATGTGGCTCCTCTGCTCGCTTGCGAGAAGTTTAAGTACGGCAGTTAACTTTCCGGCGTGCAGTTTTACAGATTACAGAACTTAAAGGACCTAAATTAAATGTAGTAAAGCCAAACTCACTTTTTTTGGATTCCTGGCCACCTATGTCGCTGTCTGACGAGATCTCCTCCAGGGAAATGTGTTCTGGAAGGGTAAACATAATAAGGTAAAACCTTGCAGGAACGTAGAGGCGTCCCACATACCCTCTTGATGCTCCACATCGGAATCCTCGGAGCTCTCGGTGTCCGTGGGACACCGGGTGGCCTCTATGATGGATTTTAGACGTTTGGTGGACAAGCAAAGCAGCTCCTCCAGGCACAGCGCCTCGATCTCGTCCAGAGGGGTTTTCTGTGGACAATCCACCCTATAATACTCGCTTAATACACAGTTTAAACTTACTTTTAGGAACTCCGGCGCTAGATTCACTATTGTCTTGGGCTTGAGTGTGCCGAAAATCTGTTTCACCAGCTCCAGACGGTCGTCAATATAGTGCGAAATCGGATGCAGCGTTCGATCCTCCTCCATCTTTTCCTTCTTTATGCTAATGGGCTTGGGTATTTGGTCACCTTTCCCTGTTTTTTTGGCCTTGCTGCTCATTTTCTTAGTTTTTTCTTGAAATTGAACAACTAAACAATTTTTCGTTTACTTTCCGAATTAACAGCGCTGTTAACAGCTAACAGTGTTTGTGTTTATCGTTTATCTTGCCAGAACAGCTGATTAGTGTGCCGTCTAGGTTGTGACAAGTTGTGTTGTGCCTTTTTGCTCAAAATTTAATAAAGTAAGTACGATTTTCGTTTATTTTATTATATGCGAAGTGTTATCAGAGCAGTTTAGAAAGTTTATTCATTTGCTGAACGCTGTTTACATACAAAAATGGTAAGCAAGCCGTTAACGGGCTGTTACGCAGACCTATTTTATCGAGGGCAGGGCTTTGGGAATAGGAAATAAAAGTAATACAGCTAGCTGGATGAGCTAATCTAGGGAATGTGGTCGATAGCTAGCTTGTGGAGCTTAGTTTTGCTAAATAATAGTTATTTATTGTTAACATTATGTTAACATTAAAAGTGTGCCCAATTAGTATTGCCGTACGCAGTAAAGACCGGTGATAAGGGATTTCAGTAGCCGTGCTACACGGTTACACTGCTAAACATATGTTGAAGTCTCAAAGTTTTGCGAAGAATATGTCGGCGGCGCGTCTGTAAAAATAGCAATTGCTATAGTTAAGCGAGTTCTCGTTGATGTGCCGCGGGAAAAGCCCGTTCCCCGGCACTAGTGCGGCCCCGAAAAGAGTGTGCCAATGTGCTCAACGGCCCCGATCGAGCCGATAGCCAGTGACGAAAGAGCATCATAAATCAAAGTACAAACGCCGCAGCAATTACAATGAATGCCTCGCGTGGCGGCAGCACAACGCTGGACCTGCAGCCGCTGCTGGACGACAGTCATCGCGATGACGACGAGCCGGAATCGAAGGCCGCGTTAGCCGGTAGTGTGGCGCTGCTAAATGGCTCTGGATCGAAGGAACTGAGCCACCGGGAGCGCGAGGATTCGGCGGTTTTCATTAAGAAGATCGGCAGCGCCCTCTTCTACGGTATCTCCTCGTTCATGATTACGGTGGTGAACAAGACGGTGCTGACCTCGTATCACTTTCCCTCGTTCCTGTTCCTCAGCCTGGGCCAGCTCACTGCCAGCATCGTGGTGCTTGGCATGGGCAAGCGGCTGAAGCTGGTCTCCTACCCGCCGCTGCAGCGAAATACATTCGCCAAGATCTTCCCGCTGCCACTCATCTTCCTGGGCAACATGATGTTCGGTCTGGGCGGCACTAAGTCGCTCAGCCTTCCCATGTTTGCGGCCCTGCGGCGGTTCTCCATCCTGATGACCATGCTGCTGGAGCTGAAGATACTTGGTCTGCGCCCATCAACGGCGGTCCAGGTCAGCGTATACGCAATGATCGGTGGCGCCCTGCTAGCGGCCTCCGACGACCTGTCGTTCAACATGCGCGGTTACATCTACGTGATGATCACCAACGCGATGACGGCCTCGAACGGGGTGTATGTGAAAAAGAAACTGGATACTTCGGAGATCGGGAAGTACGGCCTGATGTACTACAACTCGCTGTTCATGTTCCTGCCGGCACTGGCGCTGAACTACGCCACCGGGGATCTAGAGCAAGCGCTGAATTACGCTCAGTGGAACGACCCCGTGTTCGTGTTTCAGTTCCTGCTCAGCTGCGTGATGGGCTTCATCCTGTCGTACAGCACCATTTTGTGCACGCAGTTCAATTCGGCGCTGACCACCACCATTGTGGGCTGCCTGAAGAACATATGCGTGACGTATCTGGGGATGTTCATCGGCGGCGACTATGTCTTCTCGTGGCTCAATTGCATTGGGATCAACATCAGCGTGCTGGCTAGTCTGCTCTACACATACGTCACCTTCCGGCGGAAGCGGGCGCCCGATAAGCAGGCCCACTTGCCCAGCAGCACCCGCGGCGAGAATGTCTAGCTTCGCACTGTCTTAGCTCAAGCACAAGCCAAAGCCATACGATATGTTTAGAGTATTCCGTACACCGTATTTCGTGCGTATGCGATTTCCTATAGCCACACAGCCACCCACTACGCGTCGTCTCTGTACATAAGTATATATAGCAATGTATGTATCTAAACTGTGTAATTTAGCAATTATGTAATTTTAATCACTTTGTACATTGTCCGCATGCAACTGTTTCCTGCATCGAAAGTGTCATAAGTTATAGAAATATACAGACATCCAGCTCCTCCTTGGAACGAAATGGGCGAGATAACCGATTGTGTGCTGTTTTGTGTTCCATTTCTGGGTCAACGATAAGATTGCTCCCGGCGATAAGGTCCGACAACTCGGCCCTTGCTAATTAAGAAATAATGCGCCACATGTGCTCCTCTAATTATACTTTTTGTGTTAGAGAAAAGAGTAATCGCCCGACGATGGACTGTGGGATCTTTCCAATTACTTGCGCCCAACCGAGGTGTGTTTATCTCTCTGTATTCCGGGTAAACACACATTGGGACCTTGAAAATTCCACACACAAAACAAAGTACTGCAGTGCTGGGCAATCCACAGGCGTCATCACTCAACACCGAGCTGTGGAAATCATCGGGGAAACTTTAATAGGGGTGCCGGCCGATTACTGGATACTCTGTTTCGGAGTTTTCGTTAAATTATCTGTCAAAAGTCAGTAAAAAAGAGTGATAATGGTATATTATATTTCTGATTAGAACACGTACTGAGTGTTTTTGTTCGCAGTTTTTTTCCGTTTCCTTTCTTGATTTCCAGATAAAAAAAAGTTTGTGATTAAAAAGTACTAAAACATAAAAGTTTACAGTGATTTTGCATTTATAAATTGTTTCTCCTACTTGATGTGAAACTATTTAAAGTAAAGTAAATAAGTATATTCAAACAGAATATAGATTACTATATGTTAATGTAAATAATACATTTTCTTTGAACTAGGCTGCCAATTAATTAATAGCCGCTTGGTTACTTGGTTACTAAGCCCCTGACATAATGTTTGGGCGACGCGCAGTTTCTAAATTTAACTTTTCTAACTTTTTCGCTGACAGTGACTACCCATTTGTCCCCAGAGACAAGACACAGCAATGACGACATTGAAATTGAGCAGAAAATCCGAGAAAGAGGTAGAGGTGCCAGTGCCCCTGCAGCACTTTGTTTGGGATTTATTTTGAGACCCAGCGGCAGCTGAAGTATTGATGGGTTCGGGGATTGGAGTGGGGGCCAGGTAATGAGGAAGCCGAAACAGGTTTGCTCCGGCTTAACCGTTGGGACTGGGAGGTGAGGTAAATTGTTAGTCAGCATCAGGCCCATAGCCACATTATGGACAAATTGTTTGCTCATATTCTCGGCTGCTATTGAAAGTGGGCACGTACGACAAGCTTTAACCGAAGACAGGTAGTCAGGGTCATGTTTATGTGCGGCAATAGTCATGATGATGATGACGATAAAGTTGATGATGATCGTGCTGATAAGGTCACCGGGTGCGTCTCCCCAATCCCTCCACTCTGCCTCCACAGATCACGATGCAGCGCTGCAGGCAATTGACACTGCCGTTGGCCCTGCGACGGGGTTTCTCTTTTGGCCAGGTCAGAAGTCAGGCAGTGACCACAGAAACGCCTGAAGCGGAGCCACTGGATTCATTCGAGCGGCAGTACCTCAAGGAACGCATCGAGATATCGCCTTTACAGCGGATGGTCCTAGGAGCCGGGTCATCCATTGCTGCCTTGCTAAATCCCAGACGGTAACTAAAAAGCTTTAATAAATTTATTCATAAATGATTAATAATATTTATCCCTTAATAGCCACGACATGATTGCCTGTTTGGGCGAGACCACAGGCGAGGGCGCGCTTTTGAATATTTTGGACACCATGCAGGCCAGCGAGGAGGGTCAGCGCATCATGGCCGACAAGCCACGCATCCATACCAGCACCATTGACTTTAAGCGTCTGGAAACCCTGCCGCCCGACACTTTTGGAGCCGTCTACGTCAAGTTTCTGAAAGACAATGTGAGTCTCATTTGGCCGAGTTGCTCTGTAATACCGGCTTAAACTTTTTTAACCCACTTTCAGCAAGTCACTCCGGACACTCGCATGGCCGTGAGGTTTCTGGAGGATCCCAAGCTGGCCTATTTGATGACGCGCTACCGTGAGTGCCACGACCTAATCCACACGGTACTGGACATGCCCACCAACATGCTCGGCGAGGTGGCGGTCAAGTGGGTGGAGGCGCTCAATACGGGCCTACCGATGTGCTACGGCGGCGCGGTGTTCGGAGCGGTTCGCCTACGTCCCAAGTAAGTTCACTGAACTTGGGCCCAATTATTATAATTCATGCGCTTGTTTACTTTCTGGTGCGCAGGCAGCGGCGCGCATACTTGAAACACTACTTGCCTTGGGCCCTGGAGAACGGCAAGCGGACCAAGCCCTTGATGCCCGTCTACTGGGAGAAGCGCTGGGAGCAGAATATCAACGAACTACGCTCCGAATTGGGCATAACTGTGTTGAATAAAGTCTGATGATATGTTTTAATTTTTAAGTACATTTTTGAATTGGCGGCTTGTCGATGACAGTTATCGATAAATGTGATCGCGGCAAGATATATTCAGTGCAAAGCAATTAAAATTTATTAAATTTATTCAAGTGTTTCCTATACCGGAAAAATAAAAATATCGGTAGCTGCAAAACAGCTTTATAAATATAAATTTATTTTTGTACAATTGCAAGGTATTATATTTTGGCCACAAGTTTACAATGCAGTAAAATGGGCATATGCAAACCCTTTGAAATATATAATAAAAATTTATATTGCTTCGCATTTTTAAACGTTTTTTAATATTTTCAGAATTTCTATATCAATGTTATGCAAATTTGACGAATTTATAATAGCTGCCATTTAAGGGACCTCAAGGTTTTGAGTATAATAAAATGACTGAAAAGCCAGTGAGAAATAAAACAATGTTTTGAATTGCTAACAATAACAATTTAATATAATTAAATATTATCGTAACACAATAGATGTATTATTGCTGCATTTTTATTTTTAAAATGTAACGGTTTTTTTTCGTGACTTGTACGACTAAATATATCAGGAATATATTAAGAATCTTGGTAATATAGTCGTATAGGGAATATATAAAATACATTTGAAAAACAGTATACATAGTTTTTCGATATGTAATTCTTTATAAATTAAAGTACCTTATATTACATTGGGTTCTATGAGATGTTCAAATAAAATTGTAAGGAAAGTTTTTTTTTTGCGTTGCTTAAACATATCCTTTTGTAACTATTTTACTGGGAAAAATAATGAATTTAATATTTGAATAATACAACAATTAATTAAAATCAATTTAAAACGCAGAAAGTTCATATTCCAGAGATGAAAAACCTGGTGAGAACGTCTTATTTTCCGATATGATCGTGTCTTTAATTAAATCGATCTGGCAACCCGACCCACTGTTTGGTTTTGCTGATGTGTTGTGTTTGTTTGACCGATCGCCGTTTAATGGCTTAATTATCTATTTAATTCCGAAAATGACTGATAGATTCAATGGATTTAGCCACGACGAGATCCTCAAGATAACAGGGATCAAGGATGGTGGCGGTGGCAAAAGGGCAACGGGTCTGGAAGCAGGTTAGATGGCGAATGAATGAACCCTCGGAGTCTGTAAACAATTATCTGTTTATAACTAAAAACCCCATTTGCATGTGTGTGTTTGTGTGTGTCTATCATCGCAGCAAAGCAGGCGGTACGGAGTCAGCCCGGCATACGGCGCATGCCCGATAAGATCTTCCGGCAAGCTGATCAGCTCCGGAAGCAGCAGCAGCAACAACAACCGCAACCGAAGAAGACTCAGAAAGTGGACGACGCAAAGAAAGCCAAATCGAGAGCGACGACTCCCACGGAAAAGACGACAACTCCCACGGTCGAAGATGACGCAGTCGCAGCCGATCGGTTGTCACTAGACTTGGAACGACCTCTCTCCGACTCTCTGTTGGATGCTCTATACCATGGTCACGCTCCAGCAAGAGATAAAGCAGCTGCCACGTATGCGGATACTGGCGGAGAGAACAGCGAGGCGACATCTACAGACGATAGCTCGATTCTAAAAATGAGCGGGAGCAAAAGCCTGGCGATAAGCTCCGTGGATGATGCCAGCATCCTGCCAAGCACCCAGGACTCATCGCGCGAACGACTCAACACGGACTCGCCCTTTAAGGGTGTCTCCCTGAAAGACTTTGAGCAGCATCGCCGCATGATCGAAGAGCAAAACAAGCAGAAGAAACAAATGCTCTATCAGGCAATAGAGCAGCACACGCAGAAGACAGCGGCGGAGTCCCGCAAGATCGAAGAGATCCGTCATGAGCTGTCCAAACTAGAGAGCGATCTTGCCGTGGATGTGGCCCTGCTAAGGAAGCAGATCGACAACGCCTGCATACATTTTTCCAATGTAGAGTACGTATATCTAATATATTGTTTTGGATCAGACAAAATGTTTAATTTTAATCCTTTTTTCAGAAAACAATACGTGAAGATTGAAGCTCAGTTTTTAAAGGCCAAGATAGAACTGCACAACGCCTCGGAGAAGAAAGAACTGCTCACCGAGCATCTGTGCACTGTAATTGCCCATAACGAGGATCGCAAGGCACAGAAACTCACGGAACTCATGCAGAAAGTGGGCTTGGCTCCAACCGACGAGGAGCCACCGGTCTCGCCCCCCAACCTAACTAACAATTGATCATAAATAGTCCGTTAAAATTCAGAGATTCAGATTTTCTTTCCTCAATATGAACTTAGAATCTAAAAAAGCGCTGCTCGCTAAAATAATTGCAATTGCAAAATTGATATTAAGAATTGAAATTAGCTGAAAATCATTCGCTGCTGCTTCCCCAAAGCCAAGTCTTGAGAGCTCTCTAATATTAGTGTGTATTTACTGTTCATAGTTTAAGCAAAAAAGTGCAAATCGCAATAAAATATGTATTGTTATGTGTAATAGTAAAAATTTTAGATGCTTTACTAATTATACCCTTGCAGGATTTTTAGTCAGAAATACGCAACGCATTGAAGAAGTAAGTTCCGACCGATATAAAGTATATAAATTCTTGATCATCGTTGTAAATTTTATGAAAACATGTCTACTAATCATTTAGGTGCCATAGGAACGATCGAGAATCTCGTACAAAATAAATGAAAACTTTTACAGTAATCAAAAGATTTTCATCTAATTTGATATATATATATATATTATATTATTCTAGAATTTAATTTAATGAAAATCGGTACACTATATCAAATAGCTGCCACTGAAACTATCGTTAAATGTACATGAAAATGCCAAACTGCAAATGTTAAACAGGAACTGTAAATATTATTTGTAGAGGTAACTGTAATGAAAGTCGGCATTACTTCGTTGTCTTTCAACACAAATACATATTTAATTCTTATTATATTAATTAATAATGATCAAATTGCAATCTGCGAGGGTATACAAACTTCAAAATAAAGGGTACCAAATTGTCGATACCTAAATAAACATTTCTCTGTTATTGTTTGGTTTTGACAAGGTGGCAACTCCATGCAACAGCTGATCGCATTTCAAGTTTAATAAACGTGCGGACGCCACCCAAATTTCAGAAGTTAACTATTTTTATATAAATTTAATAGATAAACGTTAAACAATGGCTGGACGTGGAAGGGGCGGTAAAACAGGAACACTCACGGCCGAGCAAATGGCATTGTTGGGCTGCACAAAGGACATGCCCGTGCAGACAGCGCCGCCTCCTACATTTCCGCCGGTTCTGAACAGGCCCACAGCCTTGGAGGTTGGTTTACATCTTTATTTATCACATGCACTAGAGTTGTTAACCTGTTCCACCTATCACCATGACAGACAACTGCCACACAAAACTACCAGCTGCTGTGGAAGGAGGATTTCCTTAACCGTATGCGCGATTCCCCCTATTACATTGTTTCTGCCAGCCAGGAACTGCAAAGTAAAGAACACAAGGACTGGCGAGAGGTAATATGTACATATATATATGTACATATCATTAACCATTACTAACTTAATTTTTCTGTCCCACAGAAAGCAATGGACCGCTTCAAACTAAAAGCTCAGCCCGAGTTTAACTACAAAGCCATGCCGCGGGAGCTGAACACCTTTAATCGGAAGCGAAAGGGCGCAGAAGTCAAGCCCAAGCTTTTGGCCAAAAAAACCAACATAGAGGACAGACTGAAAGTGCTGGAGCAGAAAGAACTGAAGGCTGGCAGCGGCGAGCAGGACGATATTAAGCAGGAATCTGACTCCGACCAAGACGAGGAGCAGGACGATCCGGAAGCGGCGCTGGACGACGAAATGGACGAGGAGAACGACTACGGCAACAGTTACTTTGACAATGGAGAATCATACAACGACGAGGATGACAACTTGGACGATGGTCCCGTGTACTGAGCCAAATATACAAATAACTTATTCGGAACTGAATACTTTCGGATCTGTGATTTACTATGTCGCCACTTTAAGCTTATTTAACACAAATTTTGGATTAATATACATTTACGGGGATGACTGGCTTAGTCTAGGTCCCTGGGGGCATTGTAGTTGAAGTGAATCAGACCGGAGGATTTCACCTGCAATCAAAATTAGGAATGAGTTAATTTCGCTTTAAAGGACGTGTCTGGGTGAGAACTCACGAATCCAATGGTGCCGGCCAGGACCAGGATGCCGGTGATGAGCGCCGCATTGTACTTGGCGTTCCGCTGGGTGTGCTGCTCCTTCCAGTCACCGGCGGGCACGGGCAGATCGTTCATGGTGGAGTGCTGGTGGTGGCCACCGCCGTGGTAAGCGGCACGCGACATGGCGCCAGCTGAAAATAAAATGGATTACTTAATAACAATTGTCATTTTGGTCAGCTTTGGGGAGAAATCCCATGAAGACACTATATGTTAAACACTATGGAGCCCCCCTGCTAGAAAACTATTCCAATTAAAGCCTTGGCGCATTTTTTTGCCGATTTTACATTTTATATTCCATTATATGAGGAATATTTGCAGTTAATTGAAGTGGTTTTTTGTAGGCAGCACTTATCCGAAGTTCCTTGATGTCCCTCCCGTTGCTCCACACATTATGTAATTTTTAAGGTTAGCAGTTGCAGCGAAAAAGGGCAATGCACCGCTTTAACTCACCATTCTTGAGCAGAAGCCCCTGCTTGACAATGTGTTTAACCAACATGATTGCTCGAAAGTTGCTGAAAATTGAAGAATTATGGTTTATTTTCACTGCAAATATTTTTTCGCGTAAAACTCACCCAAAGATTACCTTGTGTATCGAACAGTGTGACCGAGCAACAGTAATGGTTTAAAACTTAAAATCTAGAGACGTGCTCACGAGAGCACATCTACATTTATACTCACGGACTTGAGAATTTATATTTCTTTCTTATAAAAAGTTGTTTTAAAATTAAACGAAGAAATTGGTAAAACAAAAATTCAAAACACTATTTATAATTTTTATTTAAAAATCTAAAGTGCTATATTTTTCTTAACTGCTCACGCACGAAGCCACCTCTAATGTTAACAGTTCCTGCAGTAGCTCTGTTAAAACAGCTGATGGTGGAGGCGTTCTTTGATTCGCAAGTTGCAAACAATTGGAAAATAGTTGAAAATAGTTGATTGTAAGACTTTTCAAGCGCCCAGTGCCTCGAGAGACATTCCACCGCCATGCTGTCCATCGGCGCCCTGGCCAATATCAAGCACACGCTGCAGAAGGAGCTGTTTCTGGCCGCCGGCGAACGCGTTCTCTCGGTGGTGACGGTGGTCAAGAAGAAGGATAAGAAGCCCTGCTATCTGTGCGTGGTCACCACGGCGCCGCCAGTGCCCGTGATTACATTAGTTCTGGTCAAGCAGTCGGAGCAGCGCGAGAGCGAGTACAAGCGCAAGCGAAGCTGGCAGCTGGACGAGATCAAGTCGGTGGACGGTCGGAACGAGCAATTTGAGACGCACGAGTTCGACCTGCAGCTTGAGAAACTATACAAGTGGTACGCCCTTAATCTGCACGAACGACAGAACTTCCTAGCCGTGCTGAATCGTCAGATCCAAAAGAGTGTGCGTGGCCAGCGGGCGGAGTTCCGGAACGTGCCCGCTGCCTGGTTGTCGGAGAAGTCGCCGGAAAAGGTGGCTCTTGGCAGAGCGGCACAGAAAACACAGCACATTGATGACGACGAGGAGGATGAGGAAGAGGAAGCACAGGAATTCACCGCGCTCACCGACAAAGAGGCCAATGAGCTGGGAAAACTCTTCTCAGAGTGCGACTTTGCCATCAAGGATGCGGAGCAGTTCATCGAGCAGCTGTCCCGGGAGCTCCACGATCTAGATGGGGTACTTAGACAATGGTTTTCCATCCACAATTCATGAAACATCATTTTTATTTCTCTTCAATCCCTCAGGCCAATATACAAAGTGTGCTGGCATCGGAGCAGAAGGTCCTAAAGATGATGGAGCACATTGACAATGCCATCTCCGAGGCGGATAAGTTTGAGACGCGACTGGACAGCTACGAGGATATTCTGGGGCACGTTAAAGAGACAATGGAGAAGATTGGCGGCAAAAATGCAATGATCGAGATTGCCAACAATAACAATATTAAGCTGATGAAGGAACTCAACAAAGTCATAGTGGGTTCTCCCAGGAGTAGTCTTTCATTAGAGATTAATCCGTTCTTTATTCCGTAGAGCCAACTGGACTTGCCGCACAGCCAGCAGCAGGCGCTGGATGAGCCTGATCTAAAGACCGCCAACGGACGCAAGGCGGCCATAGCAGCTGCCCAATGCCTGCAGCAGGCCATGAACAGCGATATAGATCCCGCCCTGCTTCGCTTGGAGGCAGTGCAGGATCAGCGCAAGCGCTTCGAAAAGTGGAAACAGAAGTTTTCGGCCACCGTCAGCCGGTTTATGAATAACCTGTTTATCCACCTGGGCAACGAGATTGGGGATATGCCGGTAACCAGCACAGAGCTTACGTTGCCCAACCATTCCAACGTTCATCGGGAACTGACGCCCTACACAGAGCTGATGCACTGGACAAAGGCTATGGACCGGAAGACCTACGATGGCCTAATGCGGGTTTACACGGCCTCGCTGAGTAAAATCTATGACAGGGATGTGAGGAATTTCTTCAATTTGGTAAGAAGTTAAGGGAGATTTAAAGAAATTTACTTAGCTTACCATTTCCTTGGCTTAGGCAAAGATGCAGGTCTCTGAGAAGCTGCGGAGTTCTCGCGAGGATTTGGACATGTCCACTTCATCTCGAAAGTCTGCTATCTCCACAATACCTTACGGCACCTTGGGCATCAACCGAGATCAGTGGGGACCGGGTGTGGAGAGTGCAGATCGCATTCGATTCGATGCTCTGCTGGAAAAGGTTCTAGCTGAGCTGGAGCCTATTGCCCTGCAGGAGCAGCTGTTCTGCATCAACTTCTTCCAAATGGATGTGATCAGCCCCACGACGAAGAACACTCAGACCACGCTGGAGATGGAGAAGGCGGTGGATATGTCTCAGTCCGCTGTCCTGGGGGCAGCTATCTCGCCCTCGGGAGAAGGTGTGCCCCAGAAGCGGATCGATAGGCAGATCAACGAGGATGTACGCAAACTGATGATGGGTCTCTTTGGCTGTCTGGAGCCCGAGTTGGTTAGCTTCATTCAAAGCTTTGAGCGGGTCGATAGCTTGTGAGTATCTAAAGTTTTTCAAATTATTTTCCCAAACATGAAACTCTTGTTTCCTACTCCTTTCAGCTACTCCTTGTACGTTCTTGTTCGTCTCACCCAGCACGTAATGTCCGCCCAGGACACACATTCCTTTCTCAGCATGACCTTCGCTTCTGCCCTGGTGCAGGTGAAGCGCAATTTTGACCGCTTTATGCAGCAGCAACTGCAGTCCATCCGCGAGGCCAAGCTGCACAAGCGCTCCAAGGCCATACTGCCGTACGTGGAGAACTTTGAGAACTTTGCCCAAACGGCGGAGGGCATATTCCGCAAGTCCGATCGCCGAACCGACATGGAGAAGTGGTATTTGCAGCTGGTGAACGCCATCTTTGAGGGCATTCACCTGCACTCGCAGGAACATCCCAAGACACCTTCTCAGGTGGTGCGCATGGAGAATTACCATCATATGTATGCCCTGCTGGCCCAGCTGAAGGTGCCTGGACTGGATGCCCTGAAGAAGGAGGCCAAGTCAAGATACAACGAAGCGCTAAAAGCATATGTGACTCAGTACTTTGGACGTCCGCTGGAGAAACTGAATGTAAGCTTAATCCGCTACAAAATGTGCTTCCATCTAATCGAGTTCCTATCTCTTAGCTATTTTTCGAAGGCGTTCAGCAAAAGGTGGCGCAGGGCGTCAAGGAAACGGAGATCAGCTACCAAATGGCCTTTTCCAAGCAGGAGCTGCGCAAAGTGATCGCCCAGTATCCAGCGCGCGAGGTGAAGAAAGGCCTGGAAAACCTCTACAAGAAAGTGGAGAAACACCTCAGCGAGGAGGAGAATCTCCTCCAGGTGGTGTGGCATGCCATGCAGGAGGAGTTCATTGCCCAGTACAACTACCTGGAGGAGCGTATCCAGAAGTGTTACGCCGGCGCCATGATCAACCTGGAGTTCAACATCCAAGACATACTAGCCTTCTTCTCGGACATTGCGCGCTCTCACTGATCAAGGGATTGGATTCTGAAGATCTGGAAGCGCACATACCGAGTTTTATTTTTAAGTGCAATAGTATTTAAAGCGCTGTTATTATTTTTTGCTGATTGGAAAATATATGTCGCGCATATGTAAACAGATGTTTTATTTTTAAGTTTATATATTTTTGCTGATTGGAAAATATATGGCGCGCATATTTAAACAGATGTTTAGTTTTGTAAATAATACAGCTAAGAGAAAGCTTGTAGAGAGGAAATGGGAGTCAAAGGTTAGCTTTCGAGAGAGCTTTCTAACTGACAGCATCCGGAGTTGGATAAGTTTGAGAGAAATGTTACATGTTTTTTATTTATTTTAAAATTATTAGCTTAGGTTTATTTGTATGGGAATTTCTGGACTTAATTAAAATCAGTTTCATGCTAAAATATGCGACACAAACTAACCATCTTTAAATATATATATAATACTCTTAATATTCCAAAACCTATTTCTATAGGCCATAAAATCAGAGGCGTTATTTCCGCTGATCATAAAAACAACCGCTTATATATTTAAACAGCTTAGAAAGATCAACAAAAGCTTGGAAAGATCAAAAAAGATACAAGAGATGTCGCTAGAGAGAGAACTGAGAGCTGAAAGAGTGAGCTTTCTTGTTTAGCTTTTCAGCCGCCAGTTTTCAAAATTCTGAGTTCGACTCTCCTCAGTCATTTTTCGCGCCTCATTCCGGTCGGTTGTCGGGTAGATCGTGTCGCTCCCTAATCCAACCACCACCACCACCAGTACCGCCACCTCCGAATTTGTAACGATTTTAACCTGTGTGCATTTTAATTTGTTCCACCCGTACGTGTTTCCGTGTGCTCTGTTCCGGTGTGTCGTGTTGATAACTCCGTGAAATGCAAATGGTAATTGCAAAATGCCGCACCGCGTGCATCTAAATGTGCTGCATATATATTTATTTTAAGAAGCTCTCCTCTGGGAGACGGAGAACGTTGAGTTAGAAACGATCCAAACCGATCCGATCCTCCCTCCTGTATATGGGCCCCTACAAGGCGACCCGTCCGACCGGTTGTCGCTCCTGACTCGATTCTCCTGGCTGCTCTACCCCCTCCCTCCCCACCTAGCCCTCCTTTATCTCCTCCAGTCACCTTTCCTTAGCTTACCTTACCCTACCTTGCCCTCTGTCTCTTTGCATTTCTCATGCACACACGCTTCTCGTTCTTTTCTTTTCTTTATTTTTTATTTTTGTGTGCTTCGTGCGCTCCCGTGCTCATGTTCCTCCACTTTTTCGGTTGCCTGTGAGTACAGTGGGACACTGGTTGAAGGATACTTTGATCCGTTAAGGAAACTTTGGATTTTACAGATAATAAATCATATTTTCAATTTAAAATTTAAGTTATAAATGATATTAAGTCGAATTGTACTTCATATGTCTTGAAAATATCAGGTTTATTTCAATATTAATGTGTATTTCAAATCAGTAAACTAGTTCAGGGATATTTGAAACTCCCTTTATTTAAGCTTTTTAATAGATTTTTGATAAAATTTCAAAATCTATATAAATTATTCTTGATAAAATTTTAAAATCTATATAAATTATTTTTGATAAAATTTTAAAATCTTATAAATTTTATTAAATGGAAGACTTGATTTCATATTTCATGCAAATAATAAAATTATTTTTATAATATTGATTTCTTAAATCAGTATACTAGTTTGGGAATTATTTTAAAATTTAGCTTTCAATTTAATTTGATTTTTAACGTTGTTTAAAAAAATTGTATTTAAAATTTCTTGAGAATAATCGGATTATTTTAACATTTTTGTGGTTTTGAATCAGCTTTGTTTTTAAATCAATCAATATTGAATCAAATTGTACTTCATATTTCTTCAATATAATCGATTCATTTTAATAATATTGCATTTTAAAATCTGTAAACTAGTTTCGTAATATTTAAAACTCCTTTCCTTTAAGATTTTCGATAGAAATCACTTTTAAGAACTCATTTTCCTAAGCTATTCTTCATACCAGTGATCACTGTATCTGCATTCCCTATTATTCCTCTTTGGCCAATGTCTTTTGTTGTTCTTGCTTTTTCCTTTGTTGGCGGTCATCACACAGCCGCTGCTGCTGTTGCTGTATATTTTAACAAAGTTTCGCTGAAACCTGGCCCACCTTGATAAGCCCCTGGCCAGTCCGCCGTCGTCTCCCTAGCAAGTTCAATGCTACTCGTACCGATCCAAGCCGATCCAATCCAAGCCGATCCGATCCGATCCGATCCGATCCAAGCCGAAGTGATGCGATGTGCCGGTGCAGTTGGGACTTCCGCTATGAGCCCGCGGGTCAGCAGACACACTACTACCATGATTAGCCAGTACAGATCGGTGTTAGCCCTGTGCTCAAAAGACCCAACTACCTGGAGGTGTTCTTGGAGCAGTGGATAAAGTGCGATAAGGGTGCCGTCCCAGTGATTAAGTGCAAGAGTTATCTATGTCGTCAGTAAACATTGTAATCGTAGTTGGTTGATCTTGAGTTACTAAGAGACTGGCTTTAGTGGGTTAACAGCTACAAACCTGTTAATTAGTATAAATATTTGCGAGGCTTCCAACGTATGTACGTACTTGTATTTTTTTTAACGAATTTTACTTACAGTAAATGCGACCCGAATGTCTCGTATCTGGTTTCTTCAATGCCACCTTAGAAGTTGAAAATTTCTTTAAAAAGCAAATATGCATAATATACCGTGACGATGTGTGTGTTTATTTCATTCATTCACTATACATATATATATATATACGGAATAGTGTCAAATATCATCAACACACACTCTGGTACCTTGCTTCAGTTGCGGCAATATCAAAGCTCTCATTTGTGCCATATGTACATTATTTAATTTCCCTGATTGCCGCCATTCAAATGTTTATTTACTTAATTTTAATTGCTGCTCCATTTATTTATTTGCATGCAGAGGGAATATAAAACATTTTGCACTTGATAACCATAGAGAATTAATGGACCACACCTCATATAGTACTCGCTCTCTATACTATAAGCGGGAAAAATCAATTTATAGTTCACTTTTTTTATAAAAGATTGTACAGAGTATATAGGAAAGTTACATTCAAGACCATTTTTCCGCAACAAATAAACAAGTGTTCTTAACTTATCTATTTCACTCTAATGTTGTTTTTCTAGGTAACATCTCAGTCACTAGAATGATTCGAGGATAGTTTACTTACTGTGGTCACTTTTTCGCACTTGATATCGGTCGAGATAAAGCCAACATAGTGAGCCTAGTCACTCTCGTTTTCATTCTGAATTCAGAGTATTCATAACACTCACTATTTGCTTGGCACATTTAGGGCGATTAAGAAGAAACAAAGTCAAAGGAAATGACATTGGAACTGTGTAATATCCGCTGTAGAATGCATTGCCTGGTAAATATTTGCACTTGGCCATTATCTGTTGTTTCAATATTATACTTATGCAGTTGAGGTGGAGAATAGAGGAAGGCACATCGCCAACCGCCCCCCAAGAATTTCCGCCAATTTCCCGAAACATTGTGGTGGTGTCGTGACTGAGTCATCAGGTTTTTCTCTCCCTCTCTCTCGGTTTTAGCCTGAACCAGAGTCCAAGTTTACTTGAGGTTAGAGCAGCCAAAGGCAGTTTTTTTCCCCACCATTTCTGGCTTCTTACCTTTCATTCTTTCCGTATGCTTTATTTTTCTTTTCTTTTCCTATTTTCTTATTCTGAATTTTTTGCGCCACTGCACCATGGCTTTTGCTGTTGCTGTTGCTGTGGGCCGCTCATTTTTCTTGTTTGGTTCTGGCATTTTCATTTTAGCCCGCCCAACTGACCGTTATTTTGGCGAGCGGAGTCTAGAATCTAGAGACTAGACCCAGACTAAATAATCAAAACTTAGCAGCTCTGCTGTCATCAGCAAATGGCTGACGCCCTAATCTTCGTCCCATACGTGCTCAGTACATTTTTTCTTCTAAAATTTTCGGCGTGTTTGGCAATCGGAAAAGCTCAAACAATAAGTGCCGTAAGTAAGCTATATACATATACATATATACAGCTGCTCATCGCGTATAGTTATGTGCTTGTTTTATAATGCATGTGGAAAAAAAAATAATAATAAAAAGAGTGTGCGGTGCACATTGTTCGGAACAATGGAACGTTATACGATAAAAATTGTATAAATAAGCCCGAACGGGGGTTGCATGTCACCTGCTCAGCCTTAGATCGCCCCGGCGCAGCCCTGAGAAAATGAAGTCACTCTCAAATAAATAAAAGCGAACTGAGAAGAGTTACGGCAAGTGCTAACTGAATATATATATATTCATGGCAGCCCAGCCACATAATACCCTGCATCTACCACCTACAACACAGAGGGGGAATCTCCACAGATTGTGTGTGTGTTGCCCGGTTCTCAAAATCCGAGAGCCATGTGAACTGTGTGAACCCATAACTGCCCAGCCAAGTAACTAAATAAAAACAAAAAACAACCGAGGTGACTGTAAAAGTATCTGGTGGATGCACTCGGCCGGAATGCATCTTTAGGATCTCTGGGAAGATGTGTGTTAGCGGGTTATTTTAGCAAACAGTTCCGTTTTACTGTTTAGGAAAATATGGAAGATTCATATATTAACTAATGATATAAAGATATAAATTTAAACAATGGTATGTCTCCTAACAAATATTCCTTTTAATCAACCTAACCTTTTAGAGTAAATTGTGTACCCAGCATTCTCTTAAATCAAAGAACTTCCTGACTTTTATCAAGTTACCTTCGAGAAATGTCAAGATATACACATTTGCGTGATATCTCCTGGGCTCTCGTCTCTTAGAAATGTTGAAAAAAGTAACAACTGAGCACGTCATATTCGATTGGGGGTAGAGTTGCAGATCTTTAGACTCGATTGCTCCACGCACACTCCATTCCACACACATATACATCATACACAACATACACACTTGGGTGCTCTGGAACTCCAGATACTTACACCGAGAGAGAGGGACTAGACCTAGACCATTTATGGTGTCAGTAAGGTACACTGCAGCCGGTAATGGCCATGATAATGATGCCTCTTGGCCGACTCGCCACCAGAACGCCGCAAAAGTGGTGCAATTTGCTCGACGGTTCTTGCTGCCTGCTGCTAGAAAGTGGCCAAAAGGCGGCTGGGAATAGAAGGAAACAACAAGAAAAACAAAATAAGAAAAACAAAACAAAAAGCGTAATCTAAAGCCAAGTTAAAAAGTAAAGCATGCTGCGGAAAATGGTTCTGTACTCATTTTGGTAGCTGACAGCAGTGAACAGTGGTTAAAAATTACATACTTTGCTAGCATAACTTAACATAAATATTGAAATATATTTCAAACAAATGGGTTTACAGAAATATAATCTGTTAATAAAAAGAAAATTATAAAACATTACTGAATAGTAAAAAGATAAAAAATCTTTTCATTATAAAATGTTTTTCATTTTATAAGAATCTATATTGAATGATTCTTTCCTTATTTTAATACTGATAAATAACTAATGTTTCATATTATTTTATACCACTGTGCCTTGCCTGGAGCAAAGGGGTGGAGTGTCGACGACTATCGTCCCCTTTTTTCGAGTGTCTGCGTCTGGTTTGGTTTGTTTTCACCATGCAAACGTGATCTTGGAAGTGGACGAACTCGTGTCTTACATTATATATAGACCAGTTTCCTCATTTTGATGTGCCCGGTTCTAATGGGGCTTAGGCATTATCCCCACCGACTCCACAAGCTCAGTTGCCTTGAGGCCATAGAAAGAGAACTTTTTACCTGGGAATCTTAGGTGTGACGAAAATGTCAACATAACTCAAATGACGACCAGCTAAGAAGGCATGGGATTATGAAATTATCAAATCAGCG